CGCCCTCAGGCTTCACGACTTGCTATACACCTCCTAACAGCGCCTAGGTTGTACCCCCCCTTGAAGTCCAAAACCACCTTGCTCATTCGGAGTCATGGCGTGCGTCATCACCGACATCCCCTTTTGCTCTCGTTGCTAGTCAAACTCGTCGCCAACCCACAGGTCTTGTCGACATGCCATGACATAACAACGATTGGACCTCAATAGAGCCAGTACTATCAAACACATTATGTCCGTTCATTCTGATCTCAGTGATCAATAATCAACTAATCTTGGGTAACTCTGACTGAAGCATTGTATCAAAATAGCTCCATTCCGTCAAGGGTCGCGAATTGCCGGCGCAACCGTGTTCCAGCATTGATATATCATGTACAAAACCCCATTCCTGTGGAACCTCGATCGTCTCCGTGTATCAAACGCTCCCGGTCCCTATCTACCGCGGGTCCCTATCTACGGCGATGAACGCGCGAGGCGCCAGAACCACTTGCCTCGCCCTCCACACTGTTCTCGTTCTGGGTCACATTGCTGTTGTCTGTATCTGGGCGAACGAAGCCGAAAATGCCCTCGTCGTCTCACGCTCGAGGGCGGACAACATTAACCAGTATATTTCATTAATCTCGCAGGGGTTCATTGTGGTATGTCTCTATCGATCTCGTATTTGTATCACTATGACTCACAAATAGACTTAGCCTTATGGTGCTCTCCTCCTCTTTTTGACCCACTCGTTAGCTGTACAGAAGATCGTGGAGAAGGATTGTACTCTCACCGCTATGCATGACGTAGCTAGCGCATGGAACGGCATCGTATCGTCTCTCACTAGCTTGCGACGACAAGTTTCTTTGCCTTCTTATGTTTGGGGCATCACCCATGTTACGGTGTATCTTGGATCAATGGTTGTATTGCCAATCACGACACCTGGTCTCTTTACTATCCAGAACTTCAATCAGTCAAGTATGCTCATCCCAACCACCCTCGGCATGCCCGTCGTAGTCAACGCTAGCACGTGAGCGTGCCCGTCCTTCCTTGGTTTTGACAAAGTACTCACTGTCGTCTCGAAAGGTTTGCATGGGACAACTTCGGTAACCCGTGGGATATCGCTGCGCAGCTCATCCCGTATCTTGTGGGTGGCAACGGTATTTCTACCACGGGGCTCTTCCGCGGTACGATTTACGACATCATTGGCAGTAACGGCAGTATCGGCGAGGTCACTGTCAATGCGACAACTGCCAATGTCACATGTGGGACAGTCGCGAACAAAGGGAGCTCAGGCTCAGAAGCCTGTTCGCCGTTGTCACTCATAAACGCGACCTACGAGGACTATAATCTCACCATGTGCTACGAGCCGCTTGGGCTAGGTCCGTTCAACGCGCTATGGTGTCTCCACCATCGTCTCATGTTGCTGATTCATTTACAGGAAATGAAAAAATCGGGGACGAATACAAAGAGGTTATACACGCTTTCACTATGTATGACTATCTCCCAAATTCGACCCACATCCCCTTCGTACGTGATTTCACTGCCAGTGGTGATCTATTGAATGATGATGGACCATGATTGTACAGGGACGACACGCCATCTTTTTTGTTGCAACTACAGTGATTGACCGCCTAGGGGCTCAGGGAACCGTTGTGCAAGGTCTGCACAGCTCGACCTGCGATTGCTGCCTACTCACTACTCTGTCTTAGACGCTACTCTGCAGGGCGTTACCATCGTTGGATGTACGTTGTCATGGGTTCAGAGCACCGCGAACGTCAGTGCGACTACGCGGAATATTACCTCCCCTGGTGTTTTCAGCATGTGGCAGCCAGCTCAATGGACTGAATGGCAGCCAACAATATCTTCCGGCGCTGTTTATGGTGTTGGCTACCCAAGCGAAGACAACCAAGTCGACTCGGTATGCCCTTCTACCATCTGAGCCAGGTGCGCCACCCCGAGCGCGAGACTAATCGAGAGATATGTTCACGCAGTGGTCGGACATGTTAGAGGCGGTTGGTACTCAAGCTTCCTTGCCCGATGGCAATGTGACCTGGACGGTAATGGAACAGTGAGTCTCCTCGTTAGCCTCATGACGAGTCAGGCAGGGCTTATACGCTCATGATACACTCACAGGTATCTCATGACGAAACTAGGGAATGGGACAAATTTTCACGACACCATTACTCTAGCAGATCTAGAAATGGCCCTGAGTAGGTGTCCCAGGATAGATCCGACACATTATCGAATACTCACCAGGGCTTCTGTAGGTGAGATGACCGCAGCGGTGTATTGGGCAGGTAGGCTTCATTTCTATGATTCATCAACAGGTCGACTCAAAGATTTCGCGTTCTTTGCTAGTTGCACATGCCTTAACTTATTCGTTGCAATGCGGATTTATTATTGTCAATGAGTGCCAAGCTCAAAGCACGCGGCCGATGTCGAGGTTGAGCGTCAGTCCCCATCCGAATGCTTGCATGACTACAGGTAGCTAATTGAAAGACCACACAGATCAGCATTACTGCGGTACGTCATCCGTGCTGATTTCCGCTTTGCGTTTCGCCGCTCAATGCCATCCTTTTCAGGCAGTGATTGGCCTCATCGCGTCGCTCGCCCTCTCGCTCTCCGCCGTTCTGCTGACCAACGGCGGCTCTGGTAACAGAAAAGGCGCGTCTGCAATGGACAGCCTCGATGTCCTCCAGGCAACGTGGCTGGTGGGACAAAATCCGGCCGTCCTGCATAGGATGCTAGAAATTCGAGAACCCAGTCTACGGCACCTGCGCGAGGCAGGTTTCAATTTCATAGAACTAGACTGGGTGTCAATCCGAAAATGACTTTGTCTTCAGGAATGGCCTCAGTGAAGTACGGGCCAGACCAGAGTCAAGAGAGTCTATGTTCTGTATTAGCTTGCTGTCCACCGCCGGTGGATCAACAAATATTGTAGACTACGCGCGGCGCACGATGCCACTCGCAGTACACTAGTAGTCGCCCCATTTCGCTTTTTAGCTGTACGCACGGAATGTATACAATGATGTCAAAGACGTCACTGAAGGTATCACGGACGTGAGCTTACCATACGGCAGAACTCAGCCGAGATCATGGCTTCAAAATAGCGTCCGACAGAGTTTGAGAACGAGTGGAATGTTGACGCCCAGCTAACCCCACAACAGGTTCCTGCTGACGTCACTTGCACTGGCCCGAGTCGCGACTCTCACTGCCAGTGTACAACGCTCACTGTGGCTACTTCCCCCTCTTAATTGATATATCCACATCGTTGTCTTAGTGACACATCTTCAGGCATTGTACACGACTGAGATAGACCCCCAGAATGCCTGTTCCTCGCCAGCTCTTGAATGAGATTCGACAATTCGTCCCGCCGCTCAATGGTTCCCTCCACAAAGGCCAGTCTGGCCGGGTCGGCGTGTTAGGTGGTGCACTCGAGTACGTCTTGCATACCTGTTTCTCTTACTCGAACAGTGCACTCAGACGGCGTCGGCAAAGCTATACAGGGGCACCGTTCTTCGCATCTATCTCAGCACTCCGCGTGGGCGCTGACCTTTCGCACGTCATCTGCTCGCCAACCGCCGCTGGCGCGATCAAGTCGTACTCACCCGACCTCATCGTCCACCCTATACTCCGCGAAGACCAGTGAGTATCAGCACTCGCGCACGCTGATAGCGGCCATGCTCATGAGCACCGTCGCCGGGATCCAACGGTCACCCCAGATCGCCTGCCGACGTGAAGCCTGCGCTATCGTCACTATTAGAGCGTCTACATGTGCTCGTTATTGGTCCGGGGCTTGGAAGAGAAGACTACATGCAAAACTTTGCCAGGCTAGCTCTGAGCATCGCCAAAGAGCGGGTGCGTTCCCGCTTGATCCCATGTTAAACACCGATTAACGTGTATGCTGGGTGATAGGATATGTACGTTGTGCTGGACGCGGATGCACTCTGGATGGTTGGCCAGGACCTCAGTCTTGTCAAGGGTTACCGCAAAGCCGTTCTCACGCCGAACGTCATGGAGTTCAAGCGATTAAGTGACAACGCTGTGCGTGTACACGTTGACTCTCTACGATATTTACCCAATGCTTGTGTGTATTGCAGGGGGTTGACCCAAAGAGCCCGCCAGATGAACATGCCATGCGAATCTCACGCGTGCTCGGCGGCGTGACGATCCTCCAAAAGAACAAGGAAGACATCATCGCGACCGACACCGGCAGCACGGTGAGCTTGACCCATTGACCCATTGATATCTTCTGAGCATCACTGACTTCCGCGCTCCAGCTATCAGGGAGCCAGGCGACGGAGGAACAGGTCGTCGTCGATACGCCCGGCGGGCTCAAGCGGTGCGGCGGGCAGGGCGACATCCTCAGCGGGACTGTCGGTACGCTGCTCGCCTGGGGCAAGTGCTACGAGACGGGTGCATTCGGGTGTGTTCTTCCTCCCCTTCCCCTACGTTGACCTGCTTACCTTGATTCGCGCCTTCAGGGACAAGTCCCTCCCGCTGTCGCGCATACCGCTTCTCGCAGCCATAGGCGGGTCGATGGTAACGCGCACGGCGTCACGGCGCGCGTTCTTGAAGATAGGCAGGGGCGTCATCACGCAGGACATGCTCGGCGAGATTGGGGGCGCCTTCGCAGAGATATTTGGCGAAGGCGAGAAGGGTTGGGGTGTGGAGGGCGCGGGTAGATTATAAGGTGGTGCATAAGGACTGAAAAGACTACGAGGCTACCAGTGAATATGTGACACCCAACTGTATATCATCATGCCGTATACCTTGCAAATCACAGTTACTGGGGGCACAATGATCAGAGAACAGCCTGTGAGAACATTGAGAACGAAATATCGATCTCTTATGTGGCGCATACTTAGCACATGTCCCATGCATCCAATTTGAACATAAGAATTGTATCTTGAATATTCGAATATTCTCACAAAATACAACCCAAGACATGTCTTGGCACGTTCTCACCTTGTGTCTCCTTGCCCCAACGGTGAAAAATGAGGACAAGAACAAGCAAAAAAACAGGGCTTGACCGGGGATCGAACCCGGGGCCTCCTGCAGTCATACGACTAACTGTCGCCCCAAAGCAGGAATCATACCTCTAGACCATCAAGCCGTTGTGAAGATTTCTCAAAATAAAAATATCACCCTGCTACTTGCCTCTCCTCGTGTCGAATCATCTTTGCCGCCGCATCCGAGGTTAGCTACCATGACCGTGACTCCGACTCTGCACCCAGAAACACTAAAAGCCGAATATGGGGGGGCTAACATATTCCCCAAAAGGATCGCAGCTACTAGACTTAACAACGCCTTGACCAACCCGTGTCCCCCTGGAGTGCCGAGACTCGGAAGCCTGTCCTGTCAGCGTTTATTGAGAAGAATTTAGTAAGCCATTACTGGCCACTGCCAATGCCACTGGTAACGAGTAGCTACAATCATCGCGTTTGCCCTCCGCCGGTGAGCTAGGCCAAGTTCAACGTAGGAGGTTGTGATCGATGCGATCTGGGGGCGCAACAGCCCGGGCCCGGCGTTCTTCCTCTTCCTCTTCCTCTTCCTCGCCTTCGTCACGCGCGTAGCTTAGTGTGTATTCGCCTTCGTCACTCTTACTCCAAATCTACCATACACAAGCTGAGGACGGCTTTATCCTTCTAGCAATGAACATCTCGAACGAATAAGGCTACAAAGTCCTGATTGCGTACTCTAGCCGCCACATCCAAGACAGTACCGAGGTTGCTACGTGCAGATGCGAAATGATAGGTTGTACAACGAGATAAGCATGCCCACTGGGTGACCCCCAGGTGCACAATCATGCCCCGGAACACAATGAAACGAGTACACGACCAGCTGCCGGTACGTCAGAGACTGCTAAGTTGCCTACTTCTGGTTGAGCGTGCGCTGATACATAGATATGGTCTAGGCTTGGTTCCCAAAGGCTAGAGAAGTCGTGTATGCTTCTCTGCACGCATTATCGAAGCACCGCGTGCCCCGCTCTTATCTTGACCACGAGCTCTGAGAATGGCATGCTTGAGCAGCGTGCATGGTGCGTTTTACCAGCTCAATCTTCTTGCTCCCGCCCCCCATCTCCTGCCACCACCTACCGAGTGCCCATCGACGTCTTTGATCATGATCACGTCGCCTCAGTCCACCCCAGATCCTCCTCTAGGGTTCTGTGAAAAATACCCCGAGGACTTTCTTACATATGTAAGTTACATCACCCCGTGAAGGCTATTTTTCACACGTGTTATTAACACTTTTTCACATTTAATAACAAATGGTAAGAAAGTGTTATAAACATGTCTATAATGTGTTTGTTACATTGTAAGTAATCTTTTGCGTGTCAAAAAGTGCTGTTCGAGCTGCCAGTGTCCGACAGATGCACACAGCGAAATAGGGCTAACGCGTGAGCCTCAGCTCGATGACAATGATCTAGCAGGGATGCATGTTCGTGGCGCAGATGGCGGACGGCCAAGGCAGTGTGGGGTAGGACCCGACGGAATAAACCTCGTGGAGGGCCCCGGCATGCAAGACACCGTGCAGGGCTGCTGCCCAATTGTGCGACTCAATTGACATATGGGCTGAGTGGAATATTGAGTGGCGAGAATGTATGTCACTCCTGCTCGTAACATAGGTGTGTATTTCATTGATTGTGCTCGTAATTCGTCTGCTGATGTCCAGGGTTGCGCCAGGTGGTGCCAGTGGGGAAAGCCCATATGCCAGCCCAGCATCACCGGAACTAACAGGATTTTTCGCGGCGCCATTGGGCTCAGGCTTGCAGTCGCTGCACAAAAGAAGGATTCAAAATGAGCTTGGGTGTCGTCGACTCCCGGCGCCTCCGAGTTAGCCACTCGATCGCTCCGGATTTAGAGTTGAGTACTAAATCATATACGGCAAGGTTGAATATATGGATGTGAGCCCTGTGCATGCTTTCCCTGTATCCTACAGGGCCTGGACAGTGGTACAGACCCCCCTTGCTTTTCTTACATTTCTTACATTTCTTACATGGGGATTTCGGCCCGCCGCCGGGGGCGTGTTAATAACATGTTAATAACATGTTATTAACACGACTTATTTACAGTGTATATTAATGGTGACTTTTTCACAGAACCCTATCCTCCTCGCTATGCGTTGGCACCTTTCGACGATCTAGATGCCGATATCATCCTGCGCTCTAGCGACAACATCGATTTCCGGGTATCGCGCTTCATCCTGCGCCTTGCATCCCCATTCTTTGCGTCCATGCTCGAGATTGGCCAGACGTCGTCCGATGCGTCTGGCGAGACTCACGACATAGGAGACGAGGTTCGAGACGGATGTCGGGTCGTTCCTGTCCAAGAGGACGGGGACACGCTAGACAGCCTTCTCCGAATCATATATCCGCAGAAGGATCCCATTCTCAGCGACCTCCCGAAGGTCAACACCGTCATGGCGGCAGCCCTGAAGTATGAAATGGAGGAGGCGATCGCTTTGACAGGGGCCAAGTTGCTCTCATTCAAGTCGACAGAGGCCTCCAGTGTCTGGGCGATCGCTGTGCGCCATGGGCTCGAGCCAGAAGCCCGGGCAGCCGCGGACGAGCTGATTCGCGAAAAGGTTGCAGTGCTAGACGATTTCCCACCTGAGATGCAGGAGGTCAATGCGGGAGCCTACTATCGCCTCTTGCAGTACCGTCGTTTGGATGGAAAGGTCGAATCGGACTTCGAGTTCTGTTATCCCCCCTCTTCGAAACCCGCCTCCTCATCAAACGAATCTTTGGTTCCTGAATCCGGTGTAGCGTCGTCGAGCACCCATCTGACGAGTGGTAATCATCCTCGTCTACCGACGGACATCGTATGCCGGTCATCGGATGGGAAAGAATACCCTGCGCATAAGGCAATCCTCGCATATGCATCTCCGGTCATGGCCGCGATGCTCGCAAGCCTTCGACCCCCTCCATCCGGCGATTCCGTCGCCGAGGGCGCATCTACAGAGCGAGTTGATTGCCCCAGATTAACCTTTGACGAGGATGGGGCGATATCAGGAGCCCTTGTCTCCCTTTCGTATACCATTTCCGATGGGTACGAAGCACCTTTTCTGGCGCTGCAGAAGGTCCCGGAAACGGTGCAGAAGTACGAGATGCGCGATGCGTTCAAGGCATTCGAAAATCGATGGTCGCAGCTCGTGGCCGAAGACCCGTTGAGAGCGTACCTGCTTGCGGCGAGCTACAGGGCTGCGGAAGGGGCGCGGCAGGCGGCGCGGCGCCTTCTTGATAGAGCCATGGAGGATTATTATGTGCCCTTGCTGGAGCGCTCTCCAGTGTCGGTTTACCGCGATGCACTGCTCTATCATCGTGCATGCGAGGTCGCAGCTGCTAGTATAGCCGAGGACTTTTATACGGGCGCTATTGCCAGCAGCAACCTCAGCGTTCACGCGACGAAATCCGCTTCATGCACCAAGTACTGCAACGGGTATTACAGTGTACTGGCACTCCTTTTCACACTATCATTCCTTTTCACACTTGGGCCGATCTCACTCACTTCAGCTCCGATAAGCATATAAACTTAGGATCGCATTTTCGGACCACCACCGTACATGTCATGATATTTTGAGGAATTATAACAATGTCATGGATGTTGGATCAAGCACTCAATGTCGGAATTACACTTGTTTTGGC